TGTGTATGTGTCCAGTCTCGGGGCCCTGTATCTCCTACACTGGTTGAGGGTGTTTGTGTGTGTGTGTGTGTGTGTGTGTGTGTGTTTGAGTATGTGTGTGTTTGTGTGTGTGTCTTAGTGTGTGTGTGTGAGTGTGGGTGTTTGTGTGTGTGTTCGTTTGTGTGTATGTGTGGGTGTCCAGTCTCGAGGCCTTGTATCTCCTACACTGATTGAGGATGTTTGTGTGTTTGTGCATGTGTGCGTCTGTGTATGTCCTGCGCTGCTAGAGGTGTGTTTCACAGTTTGATCAACTACAAGGCTATCATGTTCTGACAGCTTTTCACACTTTTTTGGTTTCTACACAGGAAAAGAATCCGATTACGCTGAACAGACAACATCAGCTGCAGGGGTGAATCTTCGGAGTCAAACCGTTCTAACACCATCGACAGCTGGAACTTCACCATCCACTGATTATGTTATTTCACCGCCTACTCTTTTCCGTGCAAGCACATTTAGCATTGTACCCACTAGAACATTCGGGAAAGACGGAACTCAAGAACCATCCTCTTTGGGGAGGAAAGAGTTGACCAAAGACACAGAACCATCCTCTTTGGGGAGGAAAGAGTTGACCAAAGACACAGAACCATCCTCTTTGGAGAGGAAAGAGTTTACCAAAGACACAGAACCATCCTCTTTGGAGAGGAAAGAGTTGATCAAAGACACAGAACCATCCTCTTTGGAGAGGAAAGAGTTGACCAAAGACACAGAACCATCCTCTTTGGAGAGGAAAGAGTTGACCATAGACACAGAACCATCCTCTTTGGGGAGGAAAGAGTTGATCAAAAACACAGAACCATCCTCTTTGGGGAGGAAAGAGTTGATCATAGACACAGAACCATCCTCTTTGGAGAGGAAAGAGTTGACCAAAGACACAGAACCATCCTCTTTGGGGAGGAAAGAGTTGACCAAAGACACAGAACCATCCTCTTTGGGGAGGAAGGAGTTGACCATAGACACAGAACCATCCTCTTTGGGGAGGACAGAGTTGACCAAAGACACAGAACCATCCTCTTTGAGGAGGAAAGAGTTGACCAAAGACACAAAACCATCCTCTTTGGGGAGGAAAGAGTTGACCAAAGACACAGAACGATCCTCTTTGAGGAGGAAAGAGTTGACCATAGACACAGAACCATCCTCTTTGGGGAGGAAAGAGTTGACCATAGACACAGAAGCATTTCCCCCCTCAAGTTTCATTCAGTTAGCTACACCAACAAAGTATCAAGAATTGTCACTGTCCCCCCGTTTGGGCGAAACTGTAATTTCTCCTACTCCAAGCGCAAGAGCCGAGGCGCGGCGAACGTCGACACACGTAAGAACAACACAACACAACTCACACAACTCTCACTTCTACGACCCGGAGCAAACTACTCACCGAACCACAGAACCGTCCCAAACCTTTTCGGAGACAAGTCCCCTGTCTGACACCACGCCAAAACTTGAAGCCACTTCGCCTCGTTCAAGCCTTCTTAAACGAAGTATTTTGTCAACATTACAGTACAAAGCTCGAGTTGTTCAATTTCCAACTGATGTTGAAAGAGCTTCCAGTTTGGGAAGTGAAGAAAAGTCGAAACAGGAAGGGGATAGAAGAAGTAACACAGGTGATATGTCAGGAAAAATTCCACTGGCAAATCCACCCATAGTTAAATCAGGACGACTCCAACCTACAAACACACTTTTACTTAAATCGGGACAAATCCAACCTACTAATACACTTTTACTTACATCAAGACAAATCCCACCTACGAATACACCCGGATTCGAGTCAAGACTACCCTCATCTATGAACATACCTGTACTTGAATCAGGACGAATACCATATACGAATACACCAGTGATTGAGTCAATGCGAATCCAACCTTCGCATACACTCGTATTCGAGTCAAGACGGATTCCACCTACGAATACACCCGTACTCGAGTCCTCTATGCAGGATTCTTTCACCTCAACTACACCACAAGCGCGAGGCACCGAGGGTTTGTTCCTTTGGCTCACCCGAAGCCGGAAAAGCTCACAGAGTGCTCTAGACATAGAGACAGAATCGGATAACTACCTCAGCGAGCTACGATACTTTCAACTCAGCAGTTTACGAGACACAAGCATGAAGTCAACCCAAGACTCGCTTGTTCCCTTTTCTTCAAGAATTCAAACTGAATCAGGCATCGACACACATGGTGCCTTTATCCCTCCCCTGCGCGACAGAACTAGCCTGCTGCCTACCTCTCCCCCCACTACAGATTTTGATCACTTTACAAGAACTGCCACAATGGAAGACTCCAATGTTTCTGTTTCCGTAAAAGCTTTCGCCGATCAAAACCCATCCATTTCGCCATCACCGTTGCCAAATCCAAACACCCTGCTCTTCCCTGGTACCTCTGTAGCCATAAACTCAAACCTGCCTTCAAGCCCCATCACCCCAGCCAGCAAAAGTGACTCCTCGAATCCAAAGACCTTTGCTAAAACTAAAACAACTACGACGGGTTCCGTAAGCCCGTTCGCTTCTTCGTCTCCGCTACATCTTTTACTTACGCTGAAACGCACTCCGGAAAACCACGAAAAGACGCCATCCGCGCATCTTCTCTCTCTCCTCAGTAAGCCATTTGACCATGGTCAAACAGCTAGTCTCAGATCATCGCACGAACTCTCCCCTAGTTATGATAGTTCCCCACAGCACGACCAGTCTTCAGTCCAATTTACCAGCCCTGTGCAATCTACAAAGTCTTCATTTAGCCATCAGCCGTCTGTGGAATTGGCCACCAACATGGCGTTCAGAGATCCTCAAGGCTTTTCCTCTGCCCCTAAGAACGACCCACAGGCTCAAAGCACGTCACCATTTTCATCGCCGCTTCCGACAAGCCCAATGGTGCCCTCGCAAAACCCAGATTTCATCACAAGTGGTAAGTACAGATCATTGGCTTGAATTGTGAGCCTAGACAGGGCCCTGTCATGGCAACCCATATACTTGAATTGATCGCTTTTAAGCACAAGAGGGCTATCCCGAAAAATGTTGTTTTGAGAAAATCGAAGTTAAAGTTTGTGCCCCTTGTTCAGTTTCTTTAAAAGACAAGGAGAGTTTTCTCTATAACCAAACAAATATACACACCAAGGAAATCAAAATTCTCCTATAGGTAGGGCAATGCACACCTTTTGGTATAGGTCAAGATTTCTGGAAACCCCAGAAATCTGGGTTAGCCCGCTTGTCCTTAAAAGTGACCAATTATATTATCATACACTAGGCATTGTCATGGTCGCTACTCTTTGCTCTCTCTAAAAACTTCACTGTGCTGACGCGAAACACAGGCATAAAAAAGGGGAAAAACCACATTCGTCTCGTGGCGTCGGTGGCCTAGTGGTTAGGCTCTCGGACTCGCAACCGTAAGTTCGTGGGTTCGAATCCCGTCAGGAGCCCGACGTTGTGTCCTTGGGAAAGGCACTTTACACGAATTTCCTTCACTTCACCCAGGTGGGAATGGGTACCCAGCTATAGTCAGTGAAAGATCTTGTCAGTTTGTTAGTGTTTGAGCGCCTTTTCAGCTGCTTGCACTGTATGCTTCCCGGGAAGCTGAGAATTTTTCGGAGTGTTCTGTTGTCTGCTGGGGTAATAATATAGTGTAAAGCGCTTAGAGCCTGCTGTTGAGCGGGGATATGCGCTATACAAATGCTATTTATTATTATTATTATTATTATTTATTATTATTATTATAGCATAGTGTCTGTGCAATCTTTACCTTATTGCTCTTCATTTCGCTACCCTCGAAATGACAAAGTTATATCTACTCAGTGCTTAGCTTGGAGAAAGTTGACGTTTAAATTTTTGAGCTTCACAACATGTCAAGCCTTTTCTAATGCAATTCTTTGAACATATCGATTACGATTCCGAATAATCTTACAATTTTTGATAGAGCAGAGAGAACATTTTGTTTCTGACTTCATAGTCTTAGAAACTCAGAACGGCCGAAAATATCGAATAGAACTATGTAAATCTACGGTAGCGAATTTGATTACCCAAGAAGAGTTTTAAAGCTTTAATTATCTAAATAGGTATAAAAATAAATGATTCCTAATGGCATTTGTTTTAAGCATATCTCCGCTCGACAGCAAGCTCTATGCACTTAATAATCTATACCATTATCTTATCAGACCCTAGAACACCCAGAAACATGCTTCTACTCATTATCATCATCATCATCATCATCATCATCATCCTCCTCATCATCATCATCATCCTCATCATCATCATCATCATCATCATCATCATCCTCATCCTCATCATCATCATCATCATCATCCTCATCCTCCTCATCATCATCATCATCATCCTCATCATCATCATCATCATCATCATCATCGTCACATTCTCCTGATCGTATCTATCTCTAAACTCGTTTCTATCCCCATCAAAAGCACACATTCTCTTCATCGTATTCCTCTCTAAACTGTTCCTATCATCACCAAAAAAGCGATCATTCTCAACTGACGTGTTTCCCTTTCTAAACTCGTTTCTAATACTACCTAAAGCACACATTCTCTTCACCGTATCTATCTCTAAACTTGTTTTTATTGTCCCCTAAAGCACACATTCTCTTCACCGTATCTATCTCTAAACTTGTTTTTATTGTCCCCTAAAGCACACATTCTCTTCACCGTATCTATCTCTAAACTTGTTTT